ATATTCTATATGTCCCTGGCATGGCAGAATGTCAATGGGCATAGAATGGGAATATGGCAAACAAGGTTAAGTGTGGAAGGAGATGATTAAGTCTCCAATTAGCCGTATGCTAAATGTGCTGCAGGCTATGGGAAATAATTTTTATTTTAGGCTAAATATGATGAGAAATGTGTAGGATTGATAATATGGTTTGAGGAAAAGAGAAGATTCAGAAATTATTGCAACATTTTTATCCTGAGATACAGAACAAATAGTGCTGTTTACTGAAATGAGGAAGGTCAGGTAGCCAACATAAATCAAAATCCACATTTTACAGTTCTGTTCTGAACCCAGTTGTACATGCAGTAGTCCTTCCTCAGAACTACTCAAAGCTAGTTCAAAGCCTACAAGGTAAAGGGTACAGCCTCCCGATTTTCAGGTTAGTCCCAGACATTAGACATCCTTTGATAAGGACTCAGCTTGGTCCTTTAATAAGGATTCAATTTGGGAGACTCTGTAGCTCCCTCATTTCTGATCTACTGACTTCCACTACTCCCTTGGGCTCAATAATTTGCTAGAGAAATTCACATAACTCACAGGAAGCATGATACTTATTATTTCAGCTTTACTAGAATCCCAGAACCCTTAATTGTCCTCATGTGAAACCTATACCTTGACGAAAAAGTTGTTGTGGGAACAGAGCAAGAGAACACTACAGGATTTGAAATTTAAAAAGGCATGTGTCAAGCTTTTAATAATTCTCTACATATCACATGCAAGCAAGATTCTGCTGAAGATTATCTAAAAACAACTGTAACAGCACATCAACAGAGATCTGCCTGAAGTGCAGGCTGGGTTTAGAAGAGGCCGTAGTACTAGGGATATTATAACTAATGTCAGATGGCTGTAAGCAGAGAATACCAGAGGAATGTCTGTGTTACATTGACTATACAAAGGGATTTGGCTATGTAGATCACAACAAACTGTGGCTAACTCTGAGATGAATGGTAATCCCAGAACATTTGTGCTTATATGAAAGCTATACTTGGTCCTGGAGGCAGTTGTCAGAACAGAGCAAGGAAACATTGTATGGTTCAAAATCAAGAAGAGAGTGACCGGGGATGTACTCTGTCACCATACCTTTTCTTTTTTTTTTTTTCAATGACCAAAACAAATCTTTATTTTTGTGTAACTGTATAAATGTGATCCAATGTGTCCACCACAAGGTTTTCAGAAAGAAACATGCTATAAATAAGCAAACGACATCTGCTCACAAATGTGTATGGACTCCTCAGATGTCGCATCAAGACCTCTACTTACAGACCACTCACAGTAGGACATTTTTTAGTATTAAGTGTAGCATGATGTTAAGCCATTGCAGCTTTTGCACATACATGTTGCACTTCTGGCTGATAATGCAGGAAATTTTGCAGCAGTATACTGTGAAGCAAGGTTGCATCCACCACTTTAAATGGCATCAATATCAATGTCATCATCCTTGTTGTCAGACTTCACAGTTTCAACTTTA